TGAGAAACTGAAAGTGTAAATAAGGACCAAAATGTATAATATATATTGGGAAAGGGAAAGAAAATGTTCTAATGTAAAGGGAACTGGAGGAGGCAGGAGGGGAAAAGGAAGAAAGGGAAAGAAGAATAAGAGAATAGAAGAAAAAAAATAGAATCAAACCTTTTGTAAATAAGAAGGGTGCTACAGTTTGTATCCAGTGTCCCTTCAGAGCCTCATGCAGTCATTGGGGTGACTTCTGGAGTTTGTAATTAATTCATGATCCATGGCTGGGATTATGGGAGTGAGCACTACACTTGCCCTGGGGCACATAATCTGTGTGACAACGTAAGGCAGGGAGAGAGGCGAGCTAGCCGCCCCTCCCTATGGTTTTTTTGTTTTGGTTTTTTTTTGGCGGAACTGGGGATTGAACTCAGATCCTTGCATTTGCCGGTCAAGTTGGCTTATCCTACTGAGATGGCTTATCCTACTAAGCCATCTCCCGGCCCCTCCCTATGGGTTTTTGCCGTTTTCCTCCACCATGAACTGCTGCCCTCTACCATGTGCAACCCTGCCTTGGAGCCAGCCGAGTATGGACTGAAACCTCCACTAACTGTGAGCTAGATAAACCCTTCCTTTCTTAATTCTGGGTGTTGGGAATTTTGTCCCAGCAATGACAGAAGAATAAGACAGAGGGAAACAGGCTGATGGGAGGGGAGGGGAATGGGAAAAAAGAAGAGCAGTTAGATTTCTCATATACAGGTACACATTCCCCAGGATGAGTGTTACCTACGTATATCTAAAACGTACCAAAAAAGAAAAAAAGTTGTAAGTGACAGACTTTTGGTATGAGCAAGAAGAAAGCTGGCCTACGCATACCACAAACAGCCTCTTCTGCTCCTAAAGGACCTTATTCTCTTTGTCTCACATTTAAGAAATTGATCGCAGTCCACTCTTACTACCTACTGTTCTTAGCTGCTAACTTTCACCTCCCACTTATAAACCTCAACTCTGTCACACTTTTTTTATGTTCGGATGGGGTCTCACTATGTTGCGTAGGTTAGTGTCCAACTCCTGCGCTGAAGCAATCTTCTTGCCCCAGTCTCTACACTCAGGAGCTAGAACTATAGGTGTGTACCATGTAACCCATCACATGTGTGTGTGTGTATGTGTGCGTGTGTGTGTGCATGCACGTATGTTCAATATAACGCCTAGAATAATAAAGGCTATTAACATTGGATACTCATGAAGTCCCTGCTGAGCTTCCCAATGTGAAGTTCTCACCAGGCACAAGGGTACACACTTATAATCCTAGCACTCGGGGGGGG